TGTGGAGCTGAGCAAGTGCTGTGGGCCTGTCAGGGCCTGCCTGGTCCCCCGAGCCAGGCCACGAGCTCCAGATCTCAGTGACCAACTCTTCTCTGAAGAGCGAGGCTTAACAGCGTCCGAGCTGCTGGCATAGGACCACTTGCAGCTGGGAATGCCTCCTCCGTCGGGAGCTGCCTGACCACTGCGATGGCTGTCAGCTGCAAAGAGATCAGTTCCTGGCCTCAAGCAATGGGCCAGCAAGGTCCTCGCGGAGAAGCTGCATAAACCGTGGACGCGTGCTTGTGCTGAACATGTGATGCCAAAGAATCAGTACGTGCATGAACGGGCACGGACATTAAGAACATGAGTCACAACCCAGAATCGGCGCCTTCATTACAGATCTGAATTGTGCCACGCACCAGCCTTCACAAGCTTTTTCCTTCTGACATCTTGGAAACCACTGCCTAAGACGAAGGTGGGATTAGCGTGAGAGAGCCGGCTGGTAGATGGCGGCGGAAACCTTTAGCCGACTCGGATACACTGGCCGTGCTGGAATGGAATAGTAGTAGTAGTAGTAGTAGCCGTGCTGGTGCGAGTAGCCGTCGTACGAAAAGTACATATCCAGAGCAAGTTGAAATAGTCTTGTCCTAGTTTTGATTGTAATTGTAAGAACAAGAGTGACATTAACAGCAATGGCAACAGCATAGCCCGTGACTGCAACAATAAGAGTTCCCCAGTGATCTTGTCCAGACGCGAAGGGACCGCTGTGGTAAGTGAGGTGACACATCTGAGAAAGGCCAGCACCGTCCACGACGTCGAACGGCATTTTCTACCACCATTACAACCACCACCCCAACCACGACACCGATGTTCTTGCACTGGCCCGATTGCTGCCAATCCAACTAGACTCCGACCCGGCCCGATTGCTGCCAATACAACTAGACTCCGACCAGCACTGCTACTTCTGGTACGACTCCAGTCAACATCCAAATTGACAGTACAAGGAGCTAGCTCCTGNNATACACTATACAGCAAGTTCTCACTGAACGGTCAGCTCAATGGAGGAAAACTTTCGGGGCGCCTCCAGCTGTAGATCTGCACACCACACAGGTGCTACAGGGACTCATCGCATCGCGCAAATTGCCTCTTCAACTTTGTGCAGTGCAGGCCTGCATGAGTCACTGGCTCACGAGGATCATGTGTAGCAGAAGCGAACAATCCACAGCGAATGACGCCACATTCCCGAAGATCGACACCCATCGTCAGTCATCCGGAGCAATCCCACTTAGTCTTGAACGTGATGGCCGACACGTCGGCGACACCTTTTTGGAGAGCTTGTCTGACGACAGCGGCTGTGCTGTACATTGTACAACCAGTTCTCACTAAAAGGTCAGCTCAATGGAGAAAA